CACACACACACACACACACACACTCACACACACACATGCAAACGCACAAATTCAACACTGAGTCACACACGTCCGATATAACAACGTTGACTGCAACACTATTTCTCAAACAAGAAAAAAGAGAGAAAAAGTACCCATTAATCATATTATTATCATCTTTTCTAATTAATTTTCATCCAATAATCTGTGCTGTTCCTCCACATTGATTCTTCTCAATTACTTTGTTACTTTCCTCTTCATTAATCCTTCTCCATCAATGTGTGCTACCCGTCCTCATTAATTCTTCTCCATTACTATGTGCTGTCCCTCCTAATTAACTTTTATATATTACTCAGGACTGTCCCTCCTCATTAATTTTTCTCAATTACTTTGTTCTGTTACTCCTCGTTCATTCCTCTCCATTACTTTGTTCTGTCCCTCTTCATTAATTCTTCTCCAATACCATGTACTGTCCCTCCTCCTTAATTCTGATATATTACTCTGTACTGTTCTTGCTCATTAATTCTTCTCCATTACTTTGTTTTGTCCCTCCTCATTATTTTTTCTCCATTACCTTGTGCTGTCCCTTCTCATTAATTCGTTTACATTACATTGTTCCGTCCCTCCTCTTTAATTCAGACCCATTATTTTGTTCTGTTCCTCCTCGTTAATTCGTCTCCATTACGATGTACTGTCCCTCCTCCTTAACTCTGATGTATTACTCTCTACTGTTCTTCCTCATTAATCCTTCTCTATTACTTTGTTCTCTCCCTCCTCATTAATTCTTCTCCATCACTTTGTGCTATCCCTCCCCATTAATTCTTCTCCATTACTTTGTTCTCTCCCTCCTCATTAATCCTTCTCTATTACTTTGTGCTATCCCTCCTCATTAATTCTTCTCCTTTACTTTGCGCTGCCCCTCCAGGATGTAGAACTTACCCCCCTTGACCTGGATCACGTCGACGTGGCTTCTGAGACTGATCTTTTCGCTGACCTGGCAGACGACAGATTCAGGCGAGAGGCGGGCGAAGCAGACGATGACGCGAATTGGGTAAGACAAAGTCACGTGACATTTTAAGAAAAGTGTGCCCTTGAGAAACAGAGTGGCCTAACTCCACTATAAACTATTTTAAAGTTTGTTGTTATTGATCCAGAACAATTTTGAGAAAAGTGGGACTCTCTACTATAACAAAAATAGAACTTGGAATTAAAATAATGTTACTTCCAACATACCGGAAAAGGTTTCAAAATAACCGCTGAGATATTTTACATACACTTGACTTATATGTGGAAAAGTGTTATTCTATGTGACTGATACGTCACATTTGACCTAATAGACACCAACCGCTATAACTCTCAAGGACACACTTGATTGTGCATATTTTGCACCTCCACCAACACAGTTAGGTTGTTCAGGCTGTTGCGGCCTTGCCAGATGTTCGTCCTTCGAAGACGAAGATAACCTTGGTTCCATATCACTCGGGGGGTGTGTGGGGG